TCTCAAAAAATTAGTGCCTATTAATAACTAAACAAAGAACATTAGGTGAAATCTAAGGACATCTGAATAAGGTATGGACTTTAGTGAAAAATAGCAATATGGGCTCAGTAGCTTTTATAAATGTACCGTAATAATGCAAGAGGTTAGCGATAGGGGAACCTGAGTGAGACGTGGGGCAAGGGAGCTATCTTTGCAGTTTGTCTGTAAATCTAAAACTATTCTAAGATTTTTTAAAAACATTAATAGAGTGAGAGGAATAGACAGAGAAAAGGAGAGAAAGAAGGACAGGGAGTTTTTCAATTGGTGGATACATTACTTCATTTCTAATAAAAATACTAGGAGGGCCCCCACTGAATTCTTCTCTAATTGTGTAAAGCACAAAAATGCTAAGCACTTTTGACATATCTCATTTGAGAATAACATAACCCTATGAGGGAAGAACAATTCTCCCTCATTTACAGATGAGGTGATGACATTCCAGGTTTTAGGAACCTACCTACAAAGTTTCTTACCTTCACAGTGCTTTGGTTTCTGTTTCTGTAGGAATGAAGTCATAACAGGGTTCCCGTGAAGTGGCAGTGAGGGAAGTTTGAGAATGAGGCCTGGGATGCAGAAGCCCTGTGACACTGACACTCATCGTCAGTGTCCTCCTCCTCCCGCTCCCCATCATCACCATCTAGATATCATGGGAGTAAAGTCAGTATCTTTAGTCTCACTTTCCTCAATTGTCAAACGGGAGTAATGTCCCACTGGTTTGATGGAAGGATACAATTAATTTTTCTAGGTGAATATTTCTCAACTTCAAATCCCCAGCAAAGAGACGGTCTTAATGACATCAAGGCAGCATTCAGCTCTAAGCTTCCTTGCCCTCCTGCCTACTTTCCTCTACACAACATTGCTTCTCTTTCCCATCTCCCCTGCGGAGTTGGTAGGCCAAAGACAAATTCCTTCTTAGACCAAAGGAAGACACACAACCCTGGGCTACAAATCTGCTTGCTTTGCTTTTCGTCTGGGGTTATTCACACTCAACTAGAATGTGAAGGGTAGGTTTTTCTGCAGTGTCAGTCCCCTCCCAATACATGTGCAATTTCTTGTGTAAAGCTTGTGGCCACTCTAAGGTGTGAGTTTGCTCACTCTTCTGTGTAAAAGTATCCAACAGATTCCAAAGCCCCATCTAAGGCAGGAAGGGCAAAGGGGTTTTGTCCTCATGCCAACACTGATGGATGCTAGTGGCTTTCCCAGGGGAGGACTGGGGTGAAATGACTTCTGAGGCTGAGTCCAGGCTCAGCAGGAGTGCCCTGCACAATCCCTTGGCAGTGTCTGGAGGTCACGGCTCCTGGGTTGCAGATTTGTCATCTTCAACCTCAGGAATGAAGCCTTTGGCTTTGCATTCAAGATCTCCCTTTGACTTTGGGATCTTACCTTTCATCTTCTCCTGTCACAAACATTCTCCTTCAGGCAGCTAGTTCACTCATTGATCCTCAAACAGATTAGGAATAGTTCTGTCCCAAGAGATGGAAACGGCTTCCCTAATTAGCTAAATTGTACCCAGCCTCATGGATGCCTGTCTCAATAAGCTAGCCAACTAGTCAAAGGCTGTGAAATTCCATTGTAACTTATTATTGGGATTTGTTCTCATTTAGTGAGCGCGTATTGCAGTGTAGATCAGATCTGTTACTTTTGTCAGCCTTTTCTCCTTCTCTGGGTAACAGAAACCCCTTTTCTTCTTGAGAAGTGCCAATCCGCCACTCCAGCTGTGCTTCTGGTGGGCTGTCCACCACGTGTCTCTCCTCCTTGCAATAGACTCAGTGAATGTACCAGGGAGGGCTGTCAGAGTTCTCTTGAGTGTTCATATGGGTGCTGGGGAGACGAAAGGGCATGTTGTGTTCTATGACAAATGGAGAGAATTTACATAAGTATAAAACTAGACAGGGGAAAAGTGTACAGAACAGAGACAGGGAGAGGCGGAGTAAGAGAGACAGACAGACAGAAAGAGACTGACAAACAGAGACTGTTTAAACCAATGGATCCATGTGTATCTGAACTAACATCATTCCTTAACAGCAGCATTCAATGAGAAAATAAGTGGGTTTTTTTCTCTTCTTCGCAGTGGAGGAAGTTGGGTTTTTCAACTCATTATTAAAACAATTCTAATGAAAACTCCCACTATATGCCAGGACTACTGTAGATGCTGAGAACATGGAGGTAAACAGGACAGCAGGACTGGGTTTCTCTTCATAGTTTTGAATTGATAAAGATTCAGGTCTCAGAACCATCAGACAGCATCCAAAATACTCTGTTGAAAGGTTAATCGCCAATAGCCCCAGGCCCAAAGGCTGGCTCTGCCATTCTGAGGTCCTGGGCCGCTTGACAAGGAACTTGGGCAACCTAAGCCTCAGCTCCACACATGTACCACGAGGATCCAGGGCGGAATTTCCTCCTGGGGTCCCTGTGAAAAAAAGTGATGAGGGTTCACACAGTCAGTTGTCCAGGAGTCAGGGATGCCCTCCGTCCTGGGAGTGTGGGGCAGTGGTGGCAACCTGCAGTGAGCAGCCTCACTGGGGCTCCAAATCCTCTCCAGTCTCTCCGCAAACTGTAGAAGTGTATCATTTTCACAATACATTGAGATATGAATTCCTGTGGGCACGCAGCCTTAGCACAATGCTGGCACATTGTGAACACGCACTGGGGGCGGTGGTCTCTTTCTCTGCTGAACATCCACGGAATAGCGGAGGGAGAGGGGAAGGAGCAGGGGACCAACGACAACAGAGAACAGATGACATTTGAACTGGATCTTGGAGGATGAGCCTATGTGTGCCTGGCAAAGTAGGACTGGCAGGGCATTCCAGGTAAGGAGAACAGCAGGAGTAAGGGCAGGAAGGGGATGAGTGCACTGAGCGTGCAGGAAATGTTGGGTGAGTGATTTAGTGTGGCCAGATTAGAGTGCGTGCTTGAGTGTGTACACGTGCACCCGATGTGTGTGTGTCTGGAAATGAGTTTGGAATGACAGGCTGAGCCAACAGAGAAAGGGCTACACAGCCCGGTCTAATAGTGTGCCCCCTGTTTGGAATAGAAAGATCGAGGCAGAAGTGGGGATGGGAGCACAGGAAGGCTGAAGGGCCAGGGGAAGCCAGTGGGGGCAGTTCCATGTCACCTGCAAAGCTTAGAGACACTTCTCAGAAAAGATCCTGGAGTCCACCTGTTTCCTTCTAAATTTGCTTTGTGTTCTGGAGGATGTAGTCCTTCCTCCAGAAAGAATCTGGCTGCCTCCTGAGGATCAAGACGAGCTTCTCCTGTTTTCAGAGTCCACCTTCATCTCCATCTCCCTGAGGATCATGCAGCTTTATCTTGCCAGTGTCCAAATAGTCCCCCAAATACCTCACTGAGTGCCTGTGAGTGGAGGTCACGGCTTCTGTGGGCTGGAGGTCAGGACAATCGGGCTGGTCTTTAACTGGGCAGGTTTAAAGAGGCTTGGAGTTTAAGGAAATGGCCTCCTCCAGTGGAATTCATGCAAAGACCCTTTAAAACACCAAGTGAACCGGTCAACATCCACAGCTCTGGGACCTTGGAATTCTCAAAGAGGTGAATCGTGATTAGAATAAAACCACAGTTATGACCTTTGGTCTGCATATGGTTGATGTTTTTAAAAATTTGAATTAGATGCCAAAGCAATTTCATAAACATGCATCTGCAATATGGGGCATTTCTTAAAGTTCAGAAAACCTGACAAACCTGAGAACCATGCTCACATGTTGTCAGTAAGTTAGTGCAGTTGTCGACTATAGAAAGGCAGGATTCCTTGTTTTGCCAGAGTCTCCATTGCTCTCTGCTGCTCTGTCCTAATAGCAATGGTCACGTGCCATTTCTCTTCAGCCCTATGTCACTGTTTTCCTATAGCCCACTTAAAAAGAAAGCGAACAATTTCTTATGCCCCGATATTCACGAATAGCGAAGTGACAATATGTAGTGAGGTCCACGTGTTCTTTGTGCAAAGGAGTCTCCTTCTACATGCATAACAAGAAAACAAAATGTAACCGTTGTAAAGAATACAACTTAAGACCCCATTAGCAACCAAATCTGTGCTGTTTAACTTCAGGTTAATAGCTCAGCCTCATCAATAATTTAGTATGAAACCCTAAGGGTGTTCTGTTATTGTCAGCAATCTGTAGATGAACAAGTGGAGGTTCAGAGAGGTTAAGGTCACACAGCTAAACCAATGGTGTGTCCAGCCTTCCACAAGCTCATTCTGGTACCAGACTCTGCCTAGAGATGGTTGACCAGAGGGAGGTCTCCGCTTGTGATCTGAAGGCGAGCATCATCATCAGAAATCCCCAGATCAGGAATCCCTACTCACCAGCCTCTCAGGGCCCCAGGATGCCTCTGCCCATACAGGAACTTCAGGGCCTCAGTGACAACAGGGACACGGACACAGAGATGGCCTGCCCAGAGTCAGTCACTCATTTACCCCACGTGTCTTGAGAGTGGCAGGTAGGAGGAGGGCAGAGGATGGATGCAGGGAGGCCCAGGTTGAAACCCAGGGCTCCTCCTCTTGCCAGCCCCGTGCCTTGGACAAGCCCTGAGCATCTCCCAGTTCCCATTTTCCATCTGTGAAAAGGGTCAATCAGAGCTCCCCATATCACAGAGTGGATGTGAGGAGAATTAGGGAGAGCTTCAGGAGACAGGGGCTGAGCACACTGTTTGGCAGATATGATTGCTTTTTATGTTAGTTATTGTTACTCCCCACAGATATTGCGGCTGGGGTCCTCATCCCACCAGGGAGGGTCTTGGCAAGGCTCAGTGGTCCTCCTAACAAGGCCACTGGGGGAAAAGGAAGGCCTTGGAGAAGCAAGTCTAATGTCCCACATGTAACCCCCTCCCCCCAGGATTACATCAACCATTTTCCTGCAGGAACTGGCTCCCTCCAAAAGGGGTGAGGCTGAGAGGAATGCGACAAAGCTGCGCAGGCATGTGTGTTGTAAAACCCTGTCTGCCTGGGCTCCTATAAAAAGGGCCTCCCCTGCCTCTCACTGCAGACGAGACAGCTGCCAGCCTGCAGGCTTCCTCTGGCATCTGGGATTGCACTGGATCTGCACACTCTGAACAAGGTAAGAGCCTGGCTCTCCTGAGACCTTCATTCCACCCTTCCTCTAGCTCCCCCAGGGACCTCAGGCTCCTGGGGTCTGGATCCCACCAGCGACATGTGGAAGCTGAGTCTTAATGCCCTGAGGAATGAGTGGGTCTCTGTCTGGTATACCCAACCTTTGTCCCACCCTTCACTTAAGGAGCCCACCCGCCTGTGACTGTCTTCCTTTTCTCCATCCTAATGGGAGCCCATATTCCCAGGGTGGAAATGACATCCAGACCATTTTCTGAGCCGTGTGGTCTGCAGACAAAATTCTGTATTTTCTTTTAATATGGAGCCTTATAATAGGAATCATCTTATCATGAACTACATCAGACTAAACCCTAAGTAGTTCATAGTTTGCTCATTTGTTGCCAATATTTTCTGAAAAGTAGAGTAAAGATAAAGACACAAATCTGTCAATAAGGGTTGGTCTAGAGGGGCAGAGAAATAAGTTTTGTCTACCTGTCTCATCTTGATCACTTGCCCACTATGGGATTTCGAGCCATTTATTCACTGGTCTGAGCCTTAGCTGTCACATCCGTTACCTGGGGGTGGTTTATTATCACCTACCAGGCAGGCTCTTGACTGGATTAAACAAGGTGAGACTCAAATGCTGGTAGAGGACACGGCACATAGTAGGGGTCGAATGGAAATCCTATTTCTCTTCTCCTTTCAAGCATGTTTCTTTTTATCACACATGTGATGAAATCCATGCAGTTTAGTGTAGCATTTGAGGTCAGCTTACGTATTTGATGATTTTTTGGGGGGGAGTGGGGAGATTAGCCCTGAGCTAACATCTGCTGCTAATCCTCCTCTTTTTGCTGAAGAAGACTGGCCCTGAACTAACATCAGTGTCCATCTTCCTCTACTTTTTATGTGGGACGCCTGCCACAGCATGGCTGCCAAGTGGTGCCATGTCCCCACCCAGGATCCGAACCAGTGAACCCCAGGCAGCCAAAGTGGAACGTGCGAACTTAACCACTGCACCACTGGGCCGGCCCCTATTTATTCGATGATATATTTTTAAAAGCACTGCTTGAGGGTTTCCATATGCCCAGCACAGTGCCACAGCAGGGCTTCAGAAATCAATTACACACGATCCTCCCCTTCAACCCTGCGGTCAAAATGACTGGTGGAAATGCACCCCATCCCCCTGGTTCTGTTTGCCCAGTCAACCTGAATGACCTCCCCTCCCTCGTGCTTTTCCTTAGATTCTTACTGCATCCCAAATGCCCCCTCACAAACCCACGCATCTCAGAGAGTCCCACCCCATGCAGGTTTAACCTGGGGTTAGACATCACCTTTCATGTCACTTACCACGTCCTTTCTCCTTGTGGACTGCTCTGAATTCATGCATAATCGTGAGTTAGGAATCTAGCACATTACAGCTGGAGGAGAGTTTGCAGTAATTGTTTCCCACACCTCAGTGTCCAGTAAAGGCACTAAGACATAGAGGGGGAGAGTGACTTGCCCAAGGTCTCATTGGAGACACAGTTGGGACTGACTCCTGGTTAATGCTGTTTAAATTCCTCAAAGAGTTGTCTCTAAGTTTTTAAGATGCTTAACTTTCTTATTCACCTTGATAAATTCCACACCTACTCTAGTGCAAGGTATATAGTAGGTGTCCCCTAAATGCTTGTTGAAGAGTGACTGAAGGAGTAAGTGAGCAAATGCAACTTTAAATGAGAGAGTGAATGAGGGAGTGAGAGTTAAGGAGGCTCAGAGAGTGACAAAGGAATGAATGAAGAACAGGAGGTTCTGCACATTCAAGACTCAAGTCAAGCAGAAACATGAATGGCTGGGCTGCTTGTCTAGTGATCCAGGAGCCAGAAGGATGCTTAGTCTCACTGCCGGCACGCAGTCCTGTGTGCGCGGGGAGGGAGGGTCAGTCTGCAGCCCTGTACTGCTGAACTGCAGCTCTGCACTGACTCATTCACCTTTTGTCAAACAGGTTCCTCCAAGCTGAAGCCATGAGAATCCACAGCCTCACCCTGCTGCCCTTCCTCCTTCTGGCCGCTCAGGTGCTCTTGGCGGTGGGCGCACCGACGTCATGGAAGGGGCAAGGCAGTAGAGCAACCAAAAATCATTGGATCCCTCTGGGTAAGCCCCAAATTGTGCAGAGACCCAGTCAACAAAAGCCCATGGTCAATGGTGAGATTGTCACTCCAGACCAAGCTTCATGTACTGTGACTATGATAGAGCACGCAGAGGGCACCGCCATTAAGGCCATGTGCTCCCGAATGGACCACGACTTTTCCTGTGTCTTTACCGGCAACCCAACTTCCTGCATAGAGGGTTGTAAAAGTGATATTATCTACTGGAAACAAATTGCTTATCATTTAAGTTGCCAGAGGAACCTCTGTGAGGACGCCAATGTGGTCCTGAGAAGCAGGGTCTGCAGTAGGAGGTTTCCAGAATCAAATTTCAAGCTGGTGTACTCCACTCTGATCGATGATCTCAGCCAGTGTGATAAGGACATCACCCCCTGGTGGCATATCATAATCCATGAGGCCCCCACAACAGGTACGACAGAAGTCATACCGTTCTATCCAGGGCCAGGGATCCAGACCATTGCACCCGTCCCTACAGAGGCGGTTGAAGTCACAGAGACCACCCCAACAGTGCCCATCGTGATTCAACAGACCACTCCCAAGGAGCAGATAAAAGGGAAAAAGACAACCACTACCCAGCAGCCCAAGACTGAACAGACCACCACCACAGTGCCCACCGTGACTGAAGAGACCACCCCCACTGAGGAAGTAAAAGTGGAAGACACCACCACTACACAGCAGCCCAAGACTGAGCAGACCACCACCACAGTGCCCATAGTGCCGGAAGAGACCACCCCCACTGAGCAGGTAACAGTGGAAGAGACCACCACTCCACAGCAGCCCCAGATCCAACAGACCGCAGCCGCAGTGCCCATCGTGCCGGAAGAGACCACTCCCACTGAGCAGGTAACCGTGGAAGAGACCACCACTACACAGCAGCCCAAGACTGAGCAGACCACCACCACAGTGCCCATCGTGACTGAAGAGACCACTCCCACTGAGGAGGTAACCGTGGAGGAGACCACCACTCCACAGCAGCCCAAGACTGAGCAGACCACCACCACAGTGCCCATCGTGCCGGAAGAGACCACCCCCACTGAGCAGGTAACCGTGGAAGAGACCACCACTACACAGCAGCCCCAGATCCAACAGACCGCAGCCGCAGTGCCCATCGTGCCGGAAGAGACCACCCCCACTGAACAGGTCAAAGTGGAAGAGATCACCACTACAGTGCAACCCAAGTTGGAACAGACCACCACCACAGTGCCCATCGTGATGGAAGAGACCACGCCCACTGAACAAGTCAAAGTGGAAGAGACCACCACTACACAGCAGCCCCAGATCGAAGAGACCACCCCCACGGAGTCATTCTACAATGAGGTTACCACCCCCAAACCCAACTATAATGATGACTCAGGCATCAAAATCAAGCAGACGATAATCTACCAGTCACCTCACGATGTGGGCCAGAAGATAGTGCAGCAGAGTACCCTCAACGACTATGACGACTCAGGGAGCGCCTTCTGAGAAATCTTTGGCACTGTGATACAGGACCAACAATTGTAATGAGGCAAAGGCCATTGGAGCCAGTTAGGAGATGCCATGCCATTGGTCCCTCTGCACGCTGTGAAGCACGAGATAGGCAGGAACATTTGTGCTGTGGGAGTGCAGCTGATTTTTAAACAAGGTTTGTAATTCTGTGTTTGTGTTTGGAAATTGCTATGTATTCCCTCCCTTGAATGTGATCTTCAGAGGCTGTTTACCTCAGTGTATGTTTTCACGGCCCACAATGCTGTGTGTATATGAGCATTGAGGACCAGTCTTTGGGCTGAACAAGCCAGAGTGATAATTTCAGTGCGATGCACTTTTTCCCGAATTAATAGACATTAAAACTTTTCTTCAAAAATATGTTCAGCATTATTTGGTTTCTCTGGATATGGTTCCAAAAGAATTCATAAGCAGGTACCATATTTTGGTGGAAAACATTCCTTAGGAATGACTTCCTATTCCCCACCCATCTTAAATCATCCCCAAAGGGGACCCGTTCCAGCATCCCTTTCTTTCAGTTTTTGTCCACTGGACTGTGGTGTTTGATGCTTACTGAACTGTAATAATTAGGACCCCTGATTTCAAGTGGGACACCTGGGGCATGGGGTGATAAAGACACTTGTCAGGGTCTCACAGATGGTAAGAGGGGAGCCAGGAATTGAAGCCAGGTGTTCTGTAAGCCAAGTCCTAAGGCAGGAGGAATGCCCTCCACTCACTCAAGTCAGAGCCCATTACCACTCACCATAAGCCGGACTCCTGACCTTGAGGAGCTCATGTCTGGCCTGTGGGGGAGGAGCTGGGGTAAGTAGAGTGCCTGTGATGAAGACTCTAATGGAAGGGGAAAAAGGCAGCATGGAAAAGCAGAGAGAGGAGGGAGAAACCGCTGGAAGATCTCCTGTTGAACTTCTTCAAGGAGGTGGATCTGGAGATGGACTTTGGAGAGAACATCTCTAGGTAGGAAATGGGGCAGAATTGGGGCACTTTAGGCAGGTGACATCATGCACGGAAGCAAAGAGATGAGAAAATCCTAGAAAATGGGAGCTGACATATGGCTGGCAAGGGTGGGAATCCAAGATGACACCTCTATTAGTCATTTCCACACTAGTATACAAAGGATCTGAAAATGATTTAAGTCAAGAGTTAGGGAGAGGATGATGTACCCCCAAAGCCTTGTCACAATTCCATAAGGAGCACAAAGTGAGGATCGGGAGTTGGTAAAAGCACTGTCATTTAGAGTCTCTGTCGATGGCAGGGAGGAATGGCAGGTGGGGTGGTAGAGTGGCATCTTACACTCATCAACCTACCAGGACCTACATGGAGAGTCGCCAGTGGCCAATCCAGAGTGTGAGAAGCTCAGAGTGACATTCGGATGTCATCACCAACATCATCAACACTGACATTTGTCTCTGACTTGTTATGCTCCAGGCACTGTGCTAAGCTCTTCCCACGGAGTATGCATGCATTCATTCACCCCTTCATTCAACACGTAATATTGGGCACTGACTCTGCCAGACTCTGTTCTAGGGGCTGGAAATACAGCGGTACACAGAGGACGGGTGCTCTGCCCCATGGAAATACCAGTGAGCAAAGTGACGATAAACCCACAAGTAAACAAGGGATAGAGAGGAAGAGTAAAGGAGGGGAAGGGGGTAGAAGTGATGGAGGGTAACCAGTCTTAGATGAGATGGTCAAGGGAGGCCTCTCTGTGGAGGTGACTTTTGAGCCTAAACCTAAACGAAGTGAGGAATTAAGCCAGGTGACTGTCTCGGGTAAGGATGTTCCAAATAGAGTGAACAGTCAGTGCAAATCGTCTGAAGTTAATTAACTTGTTTATTTCTTACCTACTATAAGCTCCTACTATGTGCCAGACAATGTTCTGGGGTCAGGAAATAACAGCAAACAAAAAAGAAAAAAAAATCCCACTCTGTGTGGTGCTTCTATTCCAATGACTGGATCCTGCTTGGTGTGTTGAGAAACATCAAAGACTGCAGTGTCCTTGTAGGACAGGGCCCAGGGCCACACCTGTGCACCTTACCCCCATTCCCAAGGAAACTGAACCAACATCCCGGACCCTCCCCAACTTCCTCCTACACACCTCAGGAAGGTCATTTTCCCTTAAGGTCCACACAGATTGTCAGCCCTGTGACTCCCCTCTCCCAATCAGACATCTCAATTCACGTAGTGCTGAGATAGGAAAAGACTGGTAAACACTTCCAGGAGTCATTGCCTAATAACTCTGGTCTGGTCTGGATGATGTAAACACTGGAGAACCGACTATACCAGACGCATGACCCTCTTAAGATCCCCTCCAGCCCAGGAAGCTGATGGATCTTCTGCTCACTCATGGCCTTTGGCCACAGGCAGAGCTGGGAGGAGGTTTATTCCAACATGACAGAGTCCACTGGACCTGGGCCAGATGTTGGCCTCTTCTGCTTTCCAACCAAGGCCTCTGGCTCAATTCTGTAACCCATCTGAGTTCAGGGACTCATCTTGACAATGGGGATAATGACACCATCTTTAAAGGTTGTTAGACTGACATTGGCTGAGAAATCTAAAGTACCTGGTGCCCCACGCTTTCCATAGTAGGTGTTCGACACTAGTGACCGTCTAAGTCCACAGCACAAGACTGGTTGTCAAGGGGGAGTCAAAAATTCCTTTTGTGAACTCTTTAAATGTGATAGGTTTTTTTCTTAGTACAAGAAGGCAATGGAAACCAACATATTGACCACCTGGGATGTGCTGGTTACTCTGCCCCATTCTCTAATTCAATCCCCCAACACCCTTGTCTGATAGGTGTTAAAACCCTCATTTTCTAGATAAGGAAACTGAGACTCAGAGAAGCTGAGCAACTTGTCATGGTTAGGAAGTCTGAAGTGACAGAGCCTGTAAGTGAGAAACCGAGGTCAGGAGGTCCCCAAGTCCTTTCTGCTTTTGAAGCTCATGATTTTTTTCACTTGATGAGAGAAGAGAGACATTTGAGATCTTTGGCTTTGGGTCATGGCATAATGCGAACAGAACATATAAGTACTTCCACGTATATATCCCTTTGTATATTCTTACAAAGAGAAATTTCAGAAGCTAAAACTTCTATTCCAGCTCAGCTTCCCATGGCAGTCATATCCCGAGGGAATGTTTTAAAAACACCATTAAAATTTTTTTAAAAGACAACACAAAGTTTACATTAGCTTCTATCCAAGTTGGAACTCCATGTTTTCTGAGGACTTTCTTGATGTGAAGTGGAGGAGCCAGCTTGTGTGTGTGTGTGTGTGTGTGTGTGTGTGTGTGTGTGTGTGTCTGTGTGTCACTTAATAATTGATTCTCCTTGATAGCATGAGAAGGGAAGCACTGGCTTTTGGGGTAACTCACAATCACAGCAGTGTCAGCTGAAATAACTAGAGTCCAGCACATCTCACTGGCCATCCATCTATCCACCTCCTTCCCCAATCCACCTCCCAAATTGTTTTTGGCCAAACAAACAATGGAGGCCTGTCAGCTAGCTCTGGTGGCTGCTAGCAATCCTTGGCACTCCTTAGCTTGGAGAGCATCTCTCCAATCCCGGCTTCCGTCATCCCACGGAGTCATCCCCTGTGTGTCTGTGTCCAAATTTCCCTCTTCTTAGGGTGTCACCAATACTGAACAATTTTCCATCCTCATCCACTAGGACCTCTTCTTAGCTTGATTATATCTGCAAAGTCTTGATTTCCAAATAAGGTCACATTCACAAGTTCCAGGTGTACATGAAGTTTTGGGGCCAGTATTCAATCCACTCCAATCACCCAATAGCAATACAGTAGCCAAAAAGATGGAGAAGTGAACTTGAAAGAGTAATGCTAAACATGGGAAGTAAATTAAATCAACAAAGAAAGGACAGAAAACAAAGTTTTATTAAGCACATGCAAAATAGTGACTTGCTCCCCTCCTAATTCTGTATTTGTCTTGAAGAACATGTCAGCACTCCTCTGCTGTGTACATAAATTGTCTCTCTATTTTCAAGAGATGCCCAGCTCCTACTCCACAATCAACTCACCAAGAACTTTTTAAAAATACTGATACTTGGATCCTATCCCCAGAGATTAGTACAAGATTCCCCAGAGATTCTGATGTAATTGGTAAAGATGTGACTTGTATACGTGGATTCTTAAATTTCTGTAGGTATTCTAGTGTACACCAAGGTCAAGAAACACTGCCCTAGATTAATCAAATCAGAACCACTGGCCTGTATCCCAGGTAGTAGTATTTTCATTTAATTCCCAGGTAATTTTCACCTGTAATCTATGTTAAGAACAACTAATACAGACTGTATATGTATTTCATTCTCTTAACACATCTTTATCTATGATCTACCATGATCTATCAGACTATAGCTGACCTCCTAAGAGCTCAGGGAATAATGGGAACCAAGATGACACATTTGACGAGGTTGTGAGACAACACAGAAGGCTGTAGGGAGGTGGGAACAGGGGAGTTTTGCCAGAGTTGAGTTTCTAAAAAATATATATACATCAACATCTACTATGACAAACTTATCAAATCTGTTTCTTATGAAGGCTCTGCACCTTTCACTTGTCCCCTCATATAATTCTCATCACATCCCTATGAGGTAAGTAGTTTTACTCTCAGTTATGGACTAAGGTCTTCTCGCTAAGAGGGGTGAGTTGTGCTATATCCAACAGCTTGGGAGAGTTCAGGCCAGAAGAGGAATCAGGTCAGCCCAATTCTACAGCTTGTGGCTTTTAATACATAAACATCATGGGCTTGCATGGGTTTGGGCACAGACTGATCTCTACCCAACTTCAAATTCACTAGAGCAATACTCAAGAGAAAGCACTAAGGAAAACTACCATATAACTGCCTGGTATTTCTTACATGATAAAATGCAACTTAAATCAGTGCTACTTAAAGTGTTCCCTGAGGACCAGAAGCACCTGCATGACTTGGGCAGCTTTAGAAATGCTAATTACCAAGTCCCAACCTAGACGTACTGAATCAGAGTCTCTGAAAGTGAGGCACACAAATGTATATTTAACAAGCCTTCCGGATGAGCACGATGTACCATCAAGTAGTATTTCAAATCACTCTAAAGGGAAAGGTCTTGATCCATGTAGAAAATAGGATTTATCCAGGAGATGTGACTAAGCTTCATCGCAAATTACACATTGTTGGCAAAGCCATCTGCGCCTGTGTAACTACTGTCCCAGAAAAATGAGGTGGAAGCTGTCCTGAAAGCATTGTCATGGGAGTGTTTTACAGAGCTAATCACCAAATTTACAGGGTTTACCACCAAACTCAAAACTTTCCATGAGTTCAAAATGTCTGTCTCCATTCCCATCTTTCTTCTTGTGCAGGGGCTCCTCTACCTT